TCCTGAAACTCTAACAGTTGTGGTAGTCGTCGTTCTTTTATTTTCACATGTCTGTGCTTAGTAGGCTGTGGTATGACTCAATTCTTCTAATTCTTTTCTTTATTTTGTCCCTTGCATGTGAACACTTTATTTAAACATAAAAGCTACATCCATTCTTTTTGCATTAACCTAGGACAAATAATCATTATCATGAAAATAAATAAAATAAATTAAAAATGAATTTTAATTTAACTTATTAAAATAATAAATTTAAAATTCTCATTCTTAACTCACAGCAAAGGTTGTATGACAACTATTTTTTCAATAATGGGAAACAATGACCTATAAAATCGAGTCTAAATGTCATAGCAAGGCATACAAAATCCCCAGTGTGCCATCCTTTCCTCATGTTTCCAGACTCATCTGTTGGGCATTTGTTGCTTCAACACTTACTACATAATGTTACTGAGCTCACCAGATTGGCCTGTCTCCATATTATTTCCAGCCGGTGTGCTTATGCTTTGCTTCTCCATCTTGTTTTGAAATAGAAACAAAAATTTTCCCACAAATTTTTGTTTCTATTTCAAAATAATATTTCAAGATCTAGCTTAGATATCATCTCTTATAAAACCATTCCTGGAATTCCAGGATAAAATGTTCCCTCCTCTACAGACTAAATGCACCCTGTGCTGATTTCTAGCTTACCTCCTTCTGTAGGCCAATAATTATTTATTACTCCAATATACCATAAGCTTCTTGAGAGTAGACTTTGTACTGATGACAACTATCCCAGGCTCTAACGTACAGTAGTTAGTAAGTAAATAAATAGCAAAGTGCATTGAACCATTTCCAGTTAGAAAGCCATCTCTGGTAACTAACTTGGTTTTGTTTCGTTTTGTTTCATCGTTTTCCAATACTCAGAGTTGAATATACTCTAAGAAAACATGGCATATTTGAAGAATTCACTGGATTTGGAACCAGAGAACTTATGTTCACATCCTGCCATTTGGTCGTAGGTGTAAAATGGGGTTAAACAGTTACCTATCCACATCATTTTTTCAGATGTGCAAAATGCTGGCACAATGTCTAACACATAGGTATATACTCAATAAATGTTAATGTCCTTACCACATTATTGTTTTACTTCTTTTTATGGCCTTTAGTAATGTGAGATTATTATTGTTATCAGTGAAGCTTCAGATTTATATAATTCCTTATTGTAGTTAGACTGAGATCAAGTATTAGATATTTTTTTTCTGAATGACCTTTAAGACGACTGTGTATAATAGATGACACAAGCAGTCTTTCAACCTCAATGAATACTTTACTCCCTTTAATTATTTATGTTTATTCAGAACATATTTCTTTCATTGCCATGGGCATGAGGGAATTTTTACTTTGTTTTGCTACCTAGATAAATCTGTCTTCTTCCATTTTTTTGTAGTTTATTTTTGTCAGAAAGATCTACTTTGAAAAACATTTCCTTTACCACTATATTATTGAATTTCTTTTTTATGCTTTCATATGGATATTAGAACCTGTAGCTTTAGTTCTTTAGATAATAGGCTTAGACTCATTGATTACACAGAATTTATTGTAGAAGTATGTCATATGGGTTTAAACAATATGGAAAATTCCTTGAATTTTCTTAGCTTTTACATATATTTTATAAATAGAGATAAGATTGATCTGAAGGCAGTTGAGACAAATGTAGCTGATGCCAACAAGGAAAAGAAAAAGAACAAAAAGACTACAGTTTGTTTATTATAAGGTGAAATGTCAGATGAAACTATAGAAGGAGTTCCTAAAGGAAAATTTTTAGTAATAGACACTTATTGGTTAAAGAAAATTCAGGCTATAGGAAAGGAAAAGTTTTATAGATATGGAAATAGCCAAAGTATGAACTAAGCTTCTAAAAAATGTGATCAGTTTCACTAGAGACAAAGGATCTGAATTTAAATGTAACATCATGAGTAAAAGAAAAATGAAATCAATTTGTCATAAAGCAGCAAGCATGAGTCGACCCATTAGAGATCCCTGTTATTACAAATTATTCCTGCTTACGTGTCTTCCTAATGACTGAAAGCAATGTGTGGCACAGGTGCTTCTGTATTGAATTAAGGCTACACCTGTCATACCCTGACTGATGTTACCTTCTGCCTACTCTCTACATTCTATTAAAACTAAAACCTTGGTGTGTTTGGGTGGAAAGATTTGTGACTAACAGGAAACATCTTTGAACATCTGGAATCTCGGAAGAAATTAATTAGGCTCTGGTTTTCCCTGTTTGTCACCATCATGATAAGTATCACTTACCATATGGTAGAAAATAAAAGAGAACCTTAGGGTCTTGTTTTCAAAGTTGGAATAAAGTCTTCTGAGCTGGAAAATCTCAGTGAATAGTTCTAACTTACAAGTATTGACCTCAGGGCCTTTCATATCCTGGTTGCCTATATTTGGGATACAGTTAACGTATGTAATTGTTGAAGACAATGCTATCTGCACACAGGAAGAGAAATTGAAAGAAGTATTTTATGTTTCTACTTCCAGATTTCTTGTAACTAATTAAGAAATAAAATAATTTTGGTTATTATGAAATGCATACCTAACTTTATTATATTTTGACTTGTTCTTGGTATTCATTTAAGCTTCTTATGAGGATACCAGTATTCATTTATATTTCAGATTGGTTTTAAAAAGATCTTTTTATGCTTTTGTGTCAGCTACTTTATATGCAGTCACCTCCCTTGCTCGTGGAGAACTTGCAGTTTATCAGAGGAGAATAAAAAGATAATTCCTTAAGAGAATCACAAGGCAAGTCACAGGCTTGAAGAAAGTATTTACAAAATCCATATCTAATTGAGAACTGTTATCCAAAATATACAAAGAACTCTTAAAATTCAACCATAAGAAAATGAACAATCTGATTTTTTTAAATAAGCAAAAGGCCTGAAACAGACAGTTCCCAAAGGGGAGATAAAGATGGCAAATAAGCATATAAAAAGATGCTGGATGTTTTATATCAGGGAACTGCAAATGAAGCACCTATTTACCTATTAGAATGCCCAGAATACAAAACACTAACAATACCAAATGTTGGCCAGGATGTGGAGCAACAGAAACTCTCATTCAATGCTGATGGGAATTCAGAATGATACAGCCACTCTGGAAAGCAGTTAGACAGTTTTTTACAAAAGTAAATGTATTATTACCATGTGATTTAGCAATCATGCTCCTTGATATTTACCTAAATTAGTTAAAAATATATTCAGATTAAACCCTGCCCACAGATGTTTATGCCAGCAGCAGTTGTATTCATACTGGCTGAAACTTGGAAGCAATCAAGATTTTCTTCAGTAAAAGAAGAGATAAATAAATTATGGCACATCCAGACACTGTCAAGCCACAAAAAGGTATGGATGAACTTTAAAAGTATATTTTGAAGTGAAAGGAGCCAATCTGAATAGGCATACCATATGACTACAACTATATGACATTCTGGAAAAAAAAAGAAAACTGTGGAGACATTAAAAAGATCAGCGGTTGCCAGGGGTAAGTCGAAACAGAGAGATGAATAGGTGAAACCGAACCATTAACTCATCAACCGCTTTTTTTGATAAACGTAGAAATTGACCCTTTTGGTGTTAAAAAGCTTGAAACTTAGTTTTGTTTTATCTGAGTTCCTTCCTCAGGAAACGATGTTAGGGCTCTTACAAAAAGTATCAAAGAACTGAAACCAGGTCACCACACCAGATGCCTGACCCATCGTTCACCATGAGTGCTTCCTTGCTCCTCCCAAATGCCTGTTTTCTTACACATTTTTACATTCCTTGCCTGCTGTATAAAGCCCTGGTTTCAGTCAGTCAGGGAGTTGGATTTGAGACTGAGTTCCCATCTCCTCCACTGCAGCACCTGATTAAAACCTTCTTCCTTGTCAGTACTTGGCATCTCAAGTGACTGGCGTTCTATGCACTGAGCAGTGGGACTGAGACTGAACCTTTGGTATTTCAGTAACATAGGTAGAACACAAAGGGCTTTTTAGGGCACGGAAACTATTCTGTATGATACTAAAGTGATGGATACATATCATACATTTGTTAAAACCTATAGAATGTATAACATCAAGAGTGAACCTTAATGTAAATCATGGACTTTGGGTAATAATGATATGTCAATGTACATTCTAACAAATGTACAACTCTGGTTGAAGATATTGACAGCTAGGGAGGCTGTGGGTGTATAGAATCAGGATACATGGGAACTCTCCATGCCTTCTGCTCAATTTCACTGTGAACCAAAACTGCTTCCCCAAAATACATCTATTTAAAAAGATAATGCCTCAATGTTAAGTGTTATGGAAAGAAAGTTGTAAAATGTACAGTAACCCAGAGACAAAGAGGCTGGTTCAATTTAGCAAGGTTTGGAAAAGACCTCACAGAAGTGGAAACTTTTAGCGTGGAATTTCAAAGGCAAGCAGAATTTTGCCTATAGGAATGGGAAGGCCGGTATTAGAGATAAAGAAGCAGAAGGAAAGCAGTTAAGCAGAAGGGAGAAAATGAACAAGAGGAGAGTGAGAAGGCATGGCATGTTCTGTGAATTTCTGGTAATTCTGACTAAAACCAGGAGTTTGTAGTAAACAAGGGTGATCTTTAGACTAATGATACTGGTTGGGAATCATTTTAAATAGCTATTGCAGCCATGTTAATAAGTTTGCAGTCTACCTGTGGAGTCAACGCATTGGATATTTGTGATGAGTAGAAAAACTAACACTTATTGCATGCTTACCTTGTTGTTGGTGACTTGTTTTGGATTATCACACATAATCTTAACAACACTTATACTGAGGTAAAAAGAGGTTAAGTAATCAGTGGCAAAGCTGGGATTCAAATTCAGATATCCCTATATCAAAACTCACATTCCTGACCACCACTCCACGGGTGATGTCGCCAAAGATTCAGAGGGGGATGAATTGAACGAAGATTGGAAGTCAGTGTGTGTTTCTTTCTTTCTTTCTTTTTCAGGCCTCATTGCAACGAAATAGACAAGTAGTGTCAGTCAACAGCAATCCTTCATGATGTTTCCCTTGGCCAGAAATGCACTAAGCAGTCTCAAGATTCGAAGCATTCAGCAAAGTATGGCAAGAAAGAGCCCCGTAAAACACTCACCAGATTTTCATGACAAATATGGTAATGTTGTGCTAGCCAGTGGCACTGCTTTCTGTGTTGCTGCATGGGTGTTTACAACTACTCAGATTGGAATAGAATGGAACCTATCCCCTGTTGGCAGAGTTACCCCAAAAGAGTGGAAAAAACAGTAACCATCACAGTTGTAATGACAGAATTATTTAAAAAAAAAAACAACTTGTCATGTAAGCACTCTGCTGCTTATTAAAATATAACATAATTGAAAAAAATAAAATGTGTTTTAAAAGTTTAAAAAGTCTTTGCAAATGGTCACTTTATATGTATATTACCTGGAAGCCATAAAATAGCAGTGGGTATAGATTACAGTGGATTAGTAATAGCAAATATTTGAATATAGGATTAATAAAACATGTATCCCTTTAGTTTAATGATTTATACCAGGTATCTTTCAGTGAATATATACACATATATAATTTACAAATTATTTGACTGGAAAATCCTGTTGAATCTTCCTTTAAACTGTACATATGTTTCTTGACTTGGGGTTACATCCCAGTAAACACATCACAAATTAAAAATGCTGTAGATTGAAAATATATTTAATACCCTATATGCCCACTGTAAAGTCAAAAAGTTGAACTACTGTATGTCCAGATGCTCCTCAATCTATGATAGGGTTACATCTAGATAAACCTATCAAAATCAAAAATCATAGGTTGAACTGTCCTAAGTAGGGGACCATCAGTGTTCAGAAACTGACCATTTTTTCACGCCCTTCATCATTCCCACCCTGGTCTGAACCAATATACTCACTGAGATTATTATAAAATCTTTCTAACCAGTCCTCTTGTCTCTGCAGTTTCTGTCCTGCCAAACCTGCCCCCGACCACCACACACAATCATTTTTCAGTTCAGTAGCCAGCTTTCATTTTAAAACATAGTCAAGTGATATGAATTTTCATTCAAAACCTGATTCTGATTTCATTTCAGAGTTAATGCTGAAGTCCTTAGAAAGGTCCCCTGAATGCTACACTGGCCAGTTTACCTTCTGCATCAACAGGCTTCTACTGGCTCCTCCCTCTAGTTGGCATGCACTTCTGGATTCTGTATGACTCCCTCATACCTTTCTGGGTTTTGTTCATTCATCTCTTCAGGAGGCTTTTATCATTTCTAAAATTGCAGCCTTTATTTTGGCCTGAATTTCTCTCTCTTGCTTCTTTGCTTTTTTTCTATATTACTTATCATAATCTCACTTAAGATTTATTTATTTATTTATTTGTTTGTTTGTGATGGAGTCTCACTCTGTCACCCTGTCACCCAGGCTGGATTGCAGTGGCATGATCTCGGCTCACTGCAACCTCTGCCTCCTGAGTTCAAGTGATTCTCCTGCCTTAGCCTGCTGAGTAGCTGGGATTACCGGCGCCTACCACCACGCCCAGCTAATTTTTGTCTTTTTAGGAGAGATGTGGTTTTGCCATATTGACCGGCTAGTCTCAAACTCCTGGCCTCAAGTGATCTGCCCACCTTAGTTTCCCAAAGTGCCAGGATTACAGGTGTGAGCCATTGTCCCCGGCCCACACTTAAGATAGAGTTAGCTTATTTACTTATTTATTGTCTGCATACAAAACTCCATAAAAGCATAGGTTTTGCAATTGTTTTATAACTTTATCACAGGACTTGATTACATTCAATTAGGTTGAATTAATGAATTAATAGGTGGCTTTAGGTAATTCAGAGTCCCCATTAGTCTGAAAATAATGAATTTGCTTATCATTGTGGGTTGCAGTGAATATTGGAAAGCATATTAGTTCTCTGTTGCTGTTTGGCAAATTATTCCAAAATTCAGCATTTATTATCTCTAATTTCTGTGGGTCAGATCTGAGCATGACTTAGTTGGATGCCTCTGGCTCAAGATCTGACATTTCTACAATCAAACTGTCAGACAGGACTGTGATCATCTCAAGGTACAACTGGGGGAAGAAGCACATCTAAACTCACTCAAAAAAATGTTTGCTGGCCTCATGACCTTGCAAGATGGTGACTGGAACATCATTCCTTTGTCATGTGGGTCTTCCCATAGAACAGCTAAGGACATAGAAGCTGATATGCCTTAGAGTGAGAGAGGGTGCCCAAGACAGGAGCTTTTTGTAACCTAATCTTACACGTGACATTCTGTCACCTCTACCACATTCTGTTCACTACAAATGAGACATCAAATCAAGCTGATACACAAGGGGAGGTCATACAAGGGCATGATTACCTGATGGCAGAAACCACTGGAGACTACCCTAAGGGATATCTACCACGATTGGCAGTGGAGACCACCTCCTGCTACTGGATAAGCGATTTCAATCAGTCTTTTTCTCAACCTCTGTTATATACTAGCATTGTTAATTCTCCAGATATAGATCATTGCACATGCCTAGGCCCCATGTTTACTATTTGAAGGTTCTTCTGTGTTTCCCCCAAGATCTGAAATTGGTAGGTGTTAGGGATTGACCATTTACAGTATTTCTAACATTCTCCAAACTGTAATGGTTTGGAGAACTCTTTACAGTACTATTACCTCCATGTCTGGTGTTGAATGGTTCTCAGCAAAGGAAGCTGCATGTGAAGTAGCTAAGAGCTAGGACCAACTGGAATTGGGAAGGATATACTGAAATCATGAATACAAATTGGAATATGTGCGTTTTTCTCACTTTCTCTATCTAAGATGACATGGATGACCTGTAGAGAAGTTGATGCCCTTCACTATGGAGCTGCATATTCAACTGGCCTACAATTTTAAAAAGTTGAAGGAGAACAATTAGTGGGATTTTGAATAGCGGTCAGTGCAGCAAGCCAAGAGATCAGCAACAAACTGTATAAGCTGCCACAGTGTTGGTGATCTACGCCCACTTTCTAAATATAAAATGGTTGATGTTTCATTTTCATCCTATGTCAGACATTTTTTTTTCATTCTTGTGGCCAACTCTAATCTGAAACTATAAAGGGAAGGGAGTAAGTAGTTCAAGCTTAGCAAAGTTGACACTCAAAAGCCACAATAACCTACCCTGTGTCAACTTCCTATCAGTGTATATCTTTTCTAAACATACTTATATTTCAAACAAAGACTGTTTCAACACATACTTCTACTAGCTTGATGGCGACCTTCCCTTATAAGACTAAAAACATACTGTCTCCCTTTACTCTCAGGATGGCACTCTGAATTTCCAGTTTAATGTCACCATTGCTGTGATCCGTAGTAGACACCTAAGACTTCTAGACTAGGAAAGCCAACAATCATGGAAATAAGAAACCAACATTAGTGTATCACTACGGGGCTAATAGTGAAAGGACCCACTCCCATATTCACCTCTTGATTCCCAGATCTGTAAATTCTGGCTCCAGGAATATAGCACCATGAGTTTTTGCTTATTAAGAACATATTCAGCATTCTGGGAGACATTACCTTAGCTTTGCAAGGTGGTGTTACAGAGCTGTTACAGTAACTAACATTTCAAAAGTTATTACTCCATTCTATCATTGATGGGAAGTGTGGCAATACCAGTAACTCCCATAAACATGAGCTCATTATTGCACTCATCTGCTGTAAAATGAATTTCTTCACCAAAATCCATGATGCGTTGTATACCATGATGCTGAATAAGACATTTTTGCAAGTCCATGGATGACAATATTTAAGAAGAATTTTAGGGAAAGTAGGTAAATCTACACACGAAGCGAAACAAAGTGCTGCCTTATCCACAATGAAAATGGTCCAGTGGAATCAACCTGACACTGATGGCTGCGTGATCCACACCCTTCCCCCAAGAAATGGTGCCAAATGGAGATACAGTATTGGTCTTTCCATTTGGCAGGCTTGGACTTAGCAGTGGCTATAGCCAAACTAGCCTTGATAAGTGGAACTCCATGTTGTTGAGCCTGTGCCCAACCTCCATTTCTGCTGACATGGTCACTTTGTCTCTGAGCCATTGTGGAAACACAGGATTGCTTGAAAAAGCTGATGAACATAAGGTTGGGTCATCTTGTCCACTTGATTATTGAGATACTCTTCTGCTGATTTTCCTTTTGCTGAGCATTGATGTGGAACACGAATATCTTCCACTCTGTGCCCATTTGGAGAAGTCTGTTTCCACAACCCATTCCCAGACCATTTTCACCCATTTTGGAATACTGTCTCTTCTAATTTCTCAACCATCCTATCAAGCCATTGGCTGTATCCCATGACTCATTGTAAAATTGTATCTTTGGCCATCTCTCCTTTCAGGCAAAATGAACAACTATGTGCATTACTTAACGCACTACCTACCAGAAAAATTTTCCTTTTCCTTTAGGGCCAACCTGGGGTCAAACTACGTAGTTAAAACTATCTGCTTTCAGGTATGGTCAGTATATCTTGTAAAATCAGATCTGAATTGTTTCTTCTTTGGACAGCTGATAATAGGAAGTTATACTTGTAAATTTTAGGTTCAAAGTGACATGAAATTTTCTCAGACACACAGCTTATAAACAATGGAGTCAGGGCTCAATCTCACATCTCTCTGGCTTTAGAATCTGTTCTTTTACTTGCAGGTTACACTGTCTACCAGTCTTTCTTCATATATATAAGTTGCAAGTTCTGAAGAAGGATTCAACTGAAGCTAGAAAAGACAGGAGGTCATTGTTGATTGGGAGGAAATAAGATTATTAAGAGAGTCCATCAGCCAGCAAATGAGGATACAAAATGCATATGGAATATAATGAGTTTTTCTGTTTTGTTTTGTTTATGGTTTGGGTTTTTGAGGTGGAATCTCAGCTCACTGCAATCTCGGCCTCCTGGGTTCGAGCGATTCTCCTGTTGCAGCCTCCCAAGTAGCTGGGATTACAGGTGCCCACCACCACATCTGGCTAATTTTTGTATTTTTAGTAGAGATAGGGGTTCGCCATGTTGGCCTGGCTGGTCTTGAACTCCTGACCTCAGGTGATCCACCCACTTTGGCCTCCCAAAGTGTTGGGATTACAGGTGTGAGCCACCACACCCAGCCTTGTTTTTGTTTTTAAACAGTCTCACTGTGTGGCCCAGGCTGAAGTGCAGTGGTGCCATCTGGGCTCAGTTGTTTAAAGTGAGTCTCATGCCTCAGCCTCCTGAGTTGCTCGGATTACAGGCACGTGCCGTCTACTTTTTTGTATTTTTAGTAGAGACAGGTTTCACCATGTTGCTCAGGGTGGTCTCAAACTCCTGAGCTCAGGGAATCTGCTGGCCCCAGCCTCCCAAATTGCTAAGATTACAGGTGTGAGACACCATTACTGGCCATAGTGAGTGTTTTAAATGATAGTTTCTCTCTTAAATTTATC